ATATAAAGAGTCAAGTTATGATATAATACATAATTTTACTACAACAAGTATGAAAAGCGAGGTAAATGTAGTTTTTCTACTTTACTAGATTAGTGTAGGTACCACAGATTATTATTAAAAAGAGTTTTATTTTCGATTTAAAAGAGCTTTTTGTATGAATGTACTTAAATAAAGTTTATTTTGACTTTGACTGCTTGACTTAAATTGACGGTAAATTTATGAATAGAACTCTATAACTTAAAGGGTTTTTATTTATATAAAAATAAGATAAAATTACAACCAAGTAACACTCGAGACTACGTAAAAGAGTTTTTATCAAAACAATAAGAACAGTGTACATTTTTAACTGCTTCATAAAGTAAAACAAAGTTTATAACTGGATCAGTGTTCGATATCGACAGCCCTGTACGACACGTGCACGGGTAATGAGCGAAAAAGCAGCCGCTCGAATAAAATATAACGAGCATGACGGAGTGACGGAGTAGGTAGGGGAACTGTTAATTGTTCATACTTCTGAGTAAAGTACCACAACGTCCGTGTTTTGCCGGTGATTTCAGGTCATTCCTAGATACGTTAAAATCCACAAAATGTAATTCTCCTTTTAGTATTGACGCTACAATCATATTTATAAATTTACTCGTGAGAAGGACTAACCCTTTAGTGTCAAGAGTTTCCAGGTCACTTCCAGTACATACGAAAGACTTTACGTGGCCTCTGAATACCACTAAATAAGTAACAATATTTTAAAAATAACCGAAAGATAAATTCGAAAATTCAGATGTTGAAAACAGTATTTAAGGTTTAGCACATTCCCACCAGAACTCAGAGCAAATGAAAATTCTTTTAAAATAAACCTGTATACAATTTCATCCCGTGTAAATCCCGGCATAAAATGGACCACCCTTCCTATCCCGTGGGTGTCGTAAGAAGCGACTAAGGGAGCTTATAGTGGAAGAATGGGCAGCAGTGTCCCTCTCAAAACATCTCTAAAAGTCTAACTGCAGTTTCCAACCCGCCTGCCAAGCGTGGCAACTACTGGCAAAACTCCCCTTATGGGGAAGGCTTATGTTCAGCAGTGGACAGTTAACGGCTGAAATAATAGCCTAAATGGTCGCATACTGCGCAGTTTCAGAGATGTTTCCTCCCACGAACACTCAGGTTATGGAAGAGGTTTTCCCAAGAGAATACAGTATGGGGTTTTAAAAAGGGGGGTAAAGAGGTTTCTTCAGGGTCGACAACGCGCGCGTATTACCTCTGGTATTGCAGGTGTTCATATGCTACGGTAACCACTTATCATCAAGTGGGTCCTATGCTTGTTTGCCCCTTCAGTGGTATAAAAAAATAATAAAAATATAATTGTATATTAAATAATATATAATAAAAATTCAGAGGTTAAGGATAGAACTCCAAATACACGGTCTACAAAGTACGAAGTGACATCCATTTTTGAATAAAGCAAACATGAATTTGAATAATTAGAATTATATTTCACAAAAAAACCTTTAATTGTAGCAAATACGAGTACATTTACTTTGATTTAAAAACTAAACATTGAGTCGATAATAATGTTCTAAAAAAATATTCGGCGTCATCAATTTATTAACACTCTCCTTAAGAGGAACGTTTAAGACTGCTATTACTACAGTTTAGACAGCTGATTTGGCACTTATAGGTTTCATTTTAAAATTTCTTTTTCTTCGACTTATGCATTGTGATTTCTTCTCACTAGGAGAACCTATAAACTTTTTTTTTCTTTCGAAGAGAAAAACGTACTGTTAGGACAATTTACAAACGCCCCTTTCCTTTGTCTGGAAACCATCGATTACGTTACGAACAACCAACTGATTCGACTTTCTTTCCCCTATCATCATATTTTAATGATACTCTACGACCATAAACCATTTGTACTTCGGCTGAATTTTAATTTCCAGATTTTACAGAAAATATTAAATAAATAGCATTAAAAAGTTTTGTGTATTGACAAAAAGTAGAATAGAAGCGATACTTTACAAGTTGTTTAGTGCGCACTAAGTTTTTATGTATTTTTTTTAATGGGTGATAATGGAATGGTAACCCCACCCGCGCTATCGGTTTACACCGGCGGGGCACCAGTGAAAGATGATAGATGAAGATGAAGCAGGTCAGTTAGCCCATCGTGACGAATTCAACAAGAATTATTCACGATGGTTTCCAGGTGGAGGTCGACCTAATAAGGCATATTGCTAACAATGGGGCTGTCAAACATTGCTAATTTTTATGTATTAGATTACGTAGATTGAGGTACATGCTTTGCGACATCTATTTATGTCTAGACTTAAAGTCATTCACCATACCTACCTAAATATAACTTAGTACCTCTACGGCGCGTTTAATAGATATGGTCTCATGATTAATAAGTAATCACGTGACAGCGGCGGCAACTCTACAATCTAGGACGCCGGGAATTAATTGAATAGATGTTGATAGTGGAATTTATAGGGAAGAGTACTTGGAAGGGGATTATCAGCAAAGACGATTAGCTGCTTCGTTGCTAGCAATACATCCTGTTCAGTCGATTCACTAGGACCTCTGGAAACCGTCGTGGTGAATTCGTCACGATCTACCAACTGAGCCGACTTCATTCTCACCTAATATATATAATATATATTTTTTATATACAACTTAGAATGGCAAACAAGCTGACGGCCCCACCTGATGGATAGTGGTAACCGTCGCCTATAGATATGAGTAGTACCATGGACATAACAGAGTAATCTGTTTCGCCCATGATACCCCCCATGCGTTGCCATTCCTGAGGACTCAGATGTTATTCCTCTGTACCCAGTAAATTCACGCCAATATCCCACCCTTCAAACCGATACACAGCCATGCAAACACAACTGCTTCACGGTTGAAACACGAATAGGACAGAGGTACCCAAGCAATCGACTTTTGTACAAAGTATCCCTCTAATCTCTCACTAGCCCCGCAAGTGTATGCCAATAGCACAGACGGGGGACGGAGGAAGGTATCGTTAGTAATGGGGTCATATAGCCCCATTACTAGTAATATATCCTGGCAAGTCGACCTCCACGTGGATCCCTCTGGAAACCATCTTGTCTTATTTCAGTTGAATTCGTCTGGATGGGCTAACTGACCTGCTTTCATCCTCATCAGTCATTTATCACTGGTGCCCCGCTAGTATATACCGATAGCGTATACGGGGTTACCATGTCATTATCACACATTAAAAAAATTGCACAGACGGAGTTATCATTCCATTCTCACCCATTAAAGAAAAACTCTCGTCTTTTAGCACATTAAAAATCTAGACACAATCTCTATTTAGACGAGTACTTTTTTTTTAATGGGTGATAATGGATTGGTAAACCCCACCCGCGGGGGGGGGAAGGGATTGTTAGTAATGGAGACTGAGAATCCCATTGCTAGCAATATACCTAACCAAGGTAATAGATGAGAATGAAAACAGATCAGTTAGCCCATCATGATGAACTCATCAGGAATTAACCATGATAGTTTCCAGGGGGAACCACGTGGAGGTCGACCTAATAGGGCATATTGCTAGCAATGGGGCAGTCAAACTCCATTGTTAACAATCCCTTTACCCCTATTAGACGAGTACTATAAGGGTGTTCTAACATGGCGCTTACGACGCGATAAGTCAGTGGCAATAAAACATAACCCAATACCTTAGTTGAAGTACAGTCTACCTGAACACGACGACAACACTCAATACACGTACGTGTAAAATATAAATAAAGGTATATACGTATATACAGAGTTCGTGGCGGGCGGTAGCGCCGTCGGATGTATAAAGTGGCGCGCCGGTGGCCGCATGACATAGCTATAACTCCGCGGTAGCATGACAAACAGTTCGTCGACGAGCCGTGGAGTCGCCGCGTGCGTGACTCTTTGCTTTTTATTTTTAATGACGAATGCGTTATGGCGAACGCGTGGTGCTTTTTGCTAATTTTAAGTATTGCAGTATTCGTTAGAGAATTTATTTCGTACAAAAATGGTTGGCTGGGTGGCTGTGTTTTATACGTGTTTCAGCCACGAACCCGCTGTGCTTTAGTTAGAAAGGACAGAAAGGCAAAAGATCTTGCTCCTTAAGAATTGCAACATCTGCGAAATATGGTCTTTATGATATATTCTGTAATATTGTTCATGTTTAAAGGCAACGGTCATCACTTTTCGTTTGGTAGGCCGTCTGCTTGTTTGTGATAAGTTTTCTTTTTTCCTAATTTGCCGTGTGGTCCCGGCATAGAATGGGCCACCCCTTCCTTCCCCGTTCCTCGTGGGTGTCGTAAGAAGCGATTAAGGAAGCTTATGGTGGAATAATGGGCAGCAGCGTCCTTCTTAAAACATCTCTAAAAGCCTAACTGCAATTGCAAACCCGCATGCTAAACGTGGCAACTACTGGCAAAACTCCCCTACGAGCGGACAATTAACAACTAATATAATACTATTTTTCCTAATTTAAGCATGCAAACACTGACAACCAAAATATGTACCATAAATTTCAGTTTTATCTTCATAAAAAGGTCAGATTCAACCTCTTTTTTATAGTAAACAACATTTAATTTTTTTTTTTTTAATAAAAGTTACTTGGTGGTTTTTTAACATCTGTTAGTGGTGTAACCAATGTACAAAATAAAAAATAAAATAAAATTTGCAGGCATATTTCGACTCTTTTGATGTTTTGTGCGCGCCCGACACCGGAGGGCGCCGTCGCTAAAGCGCGATACTACGGGCTCGCCTCGGGCGGCGCGAACCAATTACCCGCCGCCGCCGCGCGGGCATTTACCCCCCTCCCCCGTCGCACCCGCCGCCCCCGACCGACGCGGCACAGAATTACTTATCTCTTGCGCGTCGCTGCGAGCCCGGTACTCTGCCGCCAGGCGAACGCCCGCAATGCGAATGCGGCGCGGGTTTTTGTCGCACGATTATCACGCGTACATTTTCCGGGACTGAACCCATTATAGGGACGCCCTACACGTAGAGATGGGCAATCCACCTGGGTGGGTTTAAAGTCTGGTGGGTAAAAACCGGGTGTTTTGGGTTTATTGGGTTTAAACCCCATAAACACCCAAATTTTTGGGTGTTTATGATTTTGTACTTCATCATCGTCATCTCAGCCGCAAGACGTCCACTATACTGGACATAGACAATATTATTATGCAGCCTACAGAATAAAAAACTTTTAATTTGATTTTGAGTTTATTAAGAAAGAGATGAAAGTAAAATGTAAAACTACAGTCAATCACTGTCAGATTCAGAGTTATTACAAGCGATGAATTGTATAGGTTCGATAGGCTCTATTTCGTCTAAACTGTTATGTTCATTTACTTGCTCAATGAAAGCTTCTAAGGTATTTTCTTCATTAAACTGAATGTCCTCGCATTCAGCTTTATGTTTAAGATTCCAGTTATAACAAATGAATGAAATTTTTCCAGTTCTTTCAGTTGTAAGTCGATTTCTTTTGTTATTATGTATGTAGCCTTGGATACTAAAGGAACGCTCAGTGGCTGCCGAAGTACAGGGAGCTGATAGAATACGAATCGCTACTTTGCTTAACTCAGTGGAACCACAAATACCTTTCCACCATATTAGGGGCTCAATGCTATCTAATGAGCTCCATACAAATCCTCTGGCCCAAAAGTTTTCTTTAGCTTTATAACACGCCAAATCTGCCATTACATTTGACAAACTTAAGTGTTGGCTTAAATTGTAGATAAACTCCATACCCTTAAGTTCTTCCTCTTGAGTAAGTTCGACTCCTAGAGTCCTGGGGTCTAGAATATATGCTGCAAAATGTATTGGCCTCATTGCCATATTGCATCTTGAAGATACTGATGTTAGAATCTGCTGTTTGCTTTCTTCGCTCAATGTCGAAATCTCATTTAATGCAAAACGTATCTTAGCTTGTACATCTCTAAATGTAATGTATGTGCGATGCAAACGATTCTGGTCGCTCTCTAAGTAAAATATGCTTTCAGTGACTGGTTCCAAAATACTTATACATTCCCCTGTCTTCGTCCAGAAATCATCACTTAGAATTAAATCTTTAATATCTCTTGAAATTACCACATCTTCTCTAACTGTTAATATTTGCAAAGCTATCTTATTTGCTTTCAAACTTTTTAACGAAGTAACATGACTTCCCCATCTTGTAGCACAAGGCAATTTTAGTGTTTGTGTAGAATCTTCACCCTGCCTTGATTTTATCAACAAGGAACTTAATCGTTGACTCCTTTTAACAGTTTTTATTATATTTATGGCTTGCATAATAAACACAGTTACTTCTTGTATCTTTACAATATCTTGGCACAACAAGTTAAGGATATGTGCACAGCAACCGAGAGGAACAACATGTGGATATTTGAGTTTTGTTAATTCGAATGCCTTTTGTATATTTCTAGCGTTATCGCCAATAAGTACAAGAAACTTATTTGCTCCATACACTTTCATTACTTTTTCAACTTCTTGGCTAAGGTATTCACTAGTGTGAGGATTACTTTCTGTATTCAAACTTTTAACGTATGCAGGTTGAGGTTTTGATATAAGAAAGTTTATTATTCCTTCATTTCTTAAATTAGACCAGCCATCGCACTGAAGGTGTAAGTAACTACAAGCATTTAGTTCCTCATTTAACTCAAAACGCATTTCTCTATATATTTTATCTAAGTATTTTGTCGCTAAAGCTTTACGTGAAGGTATTTTAAATTTTGGTTGCAATTTTTCGAAAAATTGTATCCATAAAGGATGTTGCACCATCGATAATGGCGTCCCTGTTACAAATATAGCTCTCGCTAATTCTGTTTTTATATGATCATCGGTGTCTTGAAACTCAGCATTTATTGTAGTGTTAGCAGACGACGAGGGGCTTATAAAAGAATCATTTGTCTCTATCTCTGACAGTCCAGACATTTTGGTTTTGGACGAGCTATCTTTTATAAGTTTCATAGAGTCTTTTAATGTTTCTGGAGATTTTGGACAAGTGATAAGATGTTGAAGCATTTTGGCAGCATTACTGAATTTGTAGACCTTATTACAAAGCTTGCAAGAAACAGACTTGTTTGGTAAAGTACGGTAGTGCTCCCATATGCGTAAATCTTTAGGTCTCCCCATTGAACCTAAAAAAATGAACGATGATTAGTTGGTCTGACGAAAATTCAACAATAGAGTGCCTATTTTTTTACAATGATTATTTCTTGTTATTTACAATAAATTTATTAAAAAAATAATAAAATAAATACAAAAAACCTTTGTAAAATTACATCTCCTCGGAGGATTAAACGCAGACGCTAGTTTATTATCGTATTGTTCTGTATTTTTCTCAGCAACTTCTTTAATTCGATTAGGTACTTACGCATATTATGTTAAAAATAAATATCTAGTACACATCTTAGGCTATCCACCATTATTATCCAATGACGACTCTCAGCTAACTATGCACTATCATCCAAAATAAACGTGTATGGAAAATTTTATCCCAGTCGGTTGAGGATTGAGGATAATTGCATCAACATACGAACATACCTACATACTTTTATTTACATAACGCAAGCTAAATAAAAGCTTGTAATAATACATCTAATTTTAAGTTAAAATTGTTAAGTGATCATGATATAATTGTATCATTCAAAAATCCACTTACCTTTAATTATTTCTTGTTAAGTATAAATATTATTTCAAATCTGCTCCCTTAATATGCACTTTTTTACTGCTTTTCCTACCTAACACGTTACCAGGAAGTCACGTTACCAGAGTCAGAGTAATAGTGAACACGTTTGACAGTGATTGTCGTCGCCTCATATTCAGCGTCGACGAATAGGGGAATCCCCAGTCATAATGTATTGCATGCGTGGCGGTCTTACTTCAAATCCATAAACAAAGAGATAATTACAGAACTCGATACTAGATGGCGCTGTTTTTGTTTGAAGAAAGTTTGCGGGCTAAAATACATAGAATTTCATCAATGACTTCCACAAAGAACAACATTTCTGTTTTTTCTAAGTCCGTATCTCTTCCGTATATTTCATAAGATATAAGCTTGGGCTACATTGTTATGCAACGTGATTTTGTCGCTGTCTTGCTAGCAGGGTTGACAGATATACGATTTAAATCGTACTCATACTATTATTTGTCTATTTTTTAATGTACGATCGTAAAGATTATGATCGTAATTCGCACAAAAACATACGACTTTTTGGTTACCTGGCAACATTTTTATTATGAAACGAACATGCTCACATCATCAGTCACATGCAACAATTTATTGGGGATTTCCCCTTCACATCTGGCAGTCCTGCTTGCTAGAATATAGGTAAGTCAGCCACAGTTACTGACGATCGATATTTAAAGGGTATTGTTTTTGTGCTAAATATTTCATAAAAACGTTATTTAATACTTTGTGGATTATTAATTTAGTTGATAATCACTGGAAGTAAAATGGATGCTAATTTGAGAGATCAAGATCTTCGTATAAAACAGTTAATAAAAGAAAATCTACGTAAGTACTCTTTTTATACCTAGGTAGGTAAGGTATAATAAACACAAAAGGTACTTAGATCGCGTGTGTTCGAAGCATTTATTCTAATAAATTTAATTTAAAATTGTAGAAAGAAAAAAATGTCTGCCAAGCCGTAGCCGAAGCCGATCTCCAAATATATTTGGCGATAGTGAGACCCAGTGTCCAGATGATTTACCCAGCGTCGTCGCAACAAAGAAAAAAAACGAGGATAAAGTAAAAGAAAATTTACTGAAAGAAGAAACAAACTGTTCTAAATGCTTAATTTATGGAGAAGAGGATAAAAGAAATGAGTATTTCGGACTGTTAGTGGCTCAAGAATTTAAATATATACGGCCATGTGTGCGAACGAGGTGTTATGAAGAAATTTTAAAGTATCTACGGGAAGCAAAAGGCCAACATGTTGATCAACTGCAACATGAAAACACTGAAAATTAATTACTTTCATTTTATTATATATAGATTTTTAAAATTTCCTGAAATATTATTAGTTAACGTTTTATTTAATATTGTAGAATTGATCAATACAATTTATAAAAATAATTTATTGGTATTACTTACATATTTTCAAAAAAATACGTAAAAACCTATTTTTTTGGGTGATTATGGGAGTTTATGGGTGTTTATTGGGTTTTTACCAAAGCACCGGGTTTAAACCCGGTGCTTTGCCCATCTGTACCTACACGGCTCCAACAGTACTAATGACGCGATAACGCGCTGTCTCGGTCACATCAGTTTAGTTTATGATGCATCCGTTCCGTACCTAGTTGTTAGTTGATATGTAGGTGTAGTTTGTACTGGATAAGATAATGTAATCAACCCCGCATCGTCTTTAGATAGTTAATATCTAAACTACGTAGACGATCTTGATGTAATCCATTCTTGCAATTTTTTGTTTTACTAACTTTTCTACTGCAATTTTTTAAGGGAAACAATACAATATCTTTACATCTAGGTCTGGTCTACATTGAATTTCATCTTATAGGATACCTATTAGATTTATCTATTTACAAAATCTGTAAATACACTAAGTTATTTTAAATATCAATAATGTTCGTACAATTAAAATATTTTCAAATTTCGAATAAAGTAGTTCTAAGTGAGTACATTACGTAGAAAGGAGAGAACTTTTTCAATTTATATACATGAACTATATAAATGAAAAGTAAACTAGTATCTACAACAAAAGTTGAGACTAGTGTTATAAGAATTGTTAGGTATCGATTACTAATCAATACTTTGATTAGGGCCACAAACAAACTAATAATCATTATTTAATATAATCCATAGTAAGTGAAATAATAGTATTAGATTACAGTATATCTAGTGAAAGAGTGTTCGTTTAAACGCGCTAATCTTTGGAACTATTATATGAATTAGAAAAAAAAAATGCATATGATGACTTATTTATACAGAAAGGTTATATATAAGTTACTTAGCGACACAATATAACCGCGGATGACGCTGCGAAATCAATCGATATTACGATTTGTAGTCTATTCTAGGCGAATACTATCGATTGATTGATAATCGATTATAAGACAACACTACTGCAGGCTTGCAAGCGAGCCACCGTCCACCGGTCGGCTCACATAGAGGCCCGTTGCGCTGCATCCGCCACGCATTCTATATTTTTTCGCCTCGCCTTTGTGATGTCGCGACCGCGCCGCGCCATTCCCCGCCCGCGCCATTCCGCCGTAATTTACGATGCGGGGCCCGTTCCGACCGCTCGTCGGGAGCGGCCCGGGCCGATTTATGGCGTAATTTTTACAATGGCCGCCACAGATCCTCGGATTATAAAGTCCGGCCGGTTTAAGTCAGCCGGACGATTCGGTGCCATTTACAAGGCGCTAAATTTAGGGCAATTTGACTTCGGCTAGTGCTTACCGACGATTTTAGCTAGAAACTCCTTGAATATCTACAATAGAGGCGTGACGAATTACATATATGTATATTAATTTTTTTTAATATTTAGTCTAATCTTAATAAATACTCGTAAATTCCAATATATTTAGTACAATTATTGTCTTTTCATCCGACTTAAAAAAAGGGAGTTTTAATTCGGTTGTATTTTTTATGTTTGTTAACTCATAACATCTTAGTTATAAACCGATTTGAAATCTTTTTTTTATCAGAAATACTTATAAATTGGTCCTATAGAAAATTTATCAAAATCGGTTAAGTAATTATGGAATCAAAATACTACTGTATATATAATAATGCCATAACTGAAGTCGATTTTTAGGGTTAAAAATACAAACTAAGGAACCCTTATGGTGCGACTTCGTCCGTCCCTCCGTCTGTCTGTCACAGAGCTATATCTCAGCAATGCTATCGATTTGAAATTTGAAATAGTTTTATATATCATTGGCCCGCACATATTGTAATGGAAATACATAATTGGAAAATATTTTTATTTTCATTGCTAGGGGGTGCAAAAATTTACTCAAAATTCTGGGAGAGCAAGTCAATTTGTAAAGATTGTAGAGCGCGATACGACAGTGACATTACAGGGTACGAATAAAACCTTAGTTCTCAAGAATACCAACGCATGAAGGGTATTATGGGTGACACAGTATACTCTGTTATGTCCATGGAACTATTCATGTCTATAGGCGACGGTTACCGCATTCTAATCTTTCAAATTAAGAATATAGCGCAAAAGAAGCAGACAAAATACTACAATGGCTAAAATAGGCTTATGAGAGATTTGGCATACAGGGTACAGAGGAATAACACCTCAGAAATGGCAACGCATGGCGGTATCATGGGCGAAACAGTATACTGTTATAACCATGATACTGTTCATGTCTATAGGCGACGGTTACCTCATTCTATCAAGTGAGTCGTCAATTTGTTTGTCATTCTAAGTCGAATAAAAAACTGTAAAATGAGCTAAGTTATGAAGTATACGACCTAGTAGTACCTAATATACGATTTTTATATTAATTTGTTCTCGACAAGCGTTTTGCGGCGCGTGCCCACCTCACCCCGGCTGTTGGGTGTGATGATGCGGAATAATTTAATTGCCGCGGTGACGACTGCATCCGCCATCGTTGGAGGTGTTTTTATTTTTGTCATATCATCGTGTTTACTGAACTTTGCCTTGTTTTTCTTCCTTTTTTTTTCCTCTCTCAGTTTTTTTTTTTTAATGAATAAAAAGGGATGGTAGATTTGCCTGCACTAGTGGGGTAACAGTGAAAATTGATTTTTTAATTGATGACAATTAACTATCATCAACCGTCAACCGATCTACCCTTGACCTAAACTATCAGTCACCCCTCACGGGTACCCGGCCAGCATATATAGACAGTGCTGGCAGCCTAACAATTCCACTGTCATCCATAAAAAAAAAAATTAACGGTAGACGCTAGAAGCATACCAGTGAGGGGTGATAGGTAAAGGTGAAGTCAATTTGGCCCATCGTCATAACTCACCTAGAATTATCCACGACAGTTTCCAAGGAGATCGACCTGCTAATCCCCCTTCGTAACAATATTTTCCCCTTTACTGTGACGTAGATGTTTGTAATCACCAACATTTTTTTACAACGGATGATAATGAAATGTTAACCTCGCCTGCGTTATCGGAATACATTGTCAAGGCAGCAGTGAAAGATGACAGGTAAGAATGAAGTAGGTTAGTTAGGCAATTGTGATAAATTCGATAATAAATCAATCACGATAGTTTCCAGAGGGAAACTGCGATGATGTCAAATTGACAGAGTATATTGCTAGATATGGAGTTGTTATTTCCTATTAATACTCCTTTCTCACCACCACTTAGTTTTAAACATTTGTAATTAACAAACGGATTACGAGCACATAAATTCGAGGAATTTAAAAAGTCTACTGAATGGCTCACTAACAAGCGTTATAATTCTGTACGCAGGTAAAAAAGATGAGGCCAAGCCGTAACTACGGCTACAGTTAACCATGAACAGACAGATTATATCTCCGTGCCGTCAACCGATCTCTTAATAAATTATCTACAAGTGAAAGTAAAATTATTACTATATTTTTATAGAAGATTTTTTTTTACCTGAAACTGTTATTTCTCGATGAAACACATGTTCTGAAATTAAAATTGCGTTCCACAAAAAAAAAAAAAACCCGCCTTCAATTGCGGAAATACCAGTTATTTTAATTTAAAAAGTAAAGTACTGAGTCGATTTTAATAAAATGTCTATGGGATCAATCTAAAAGTATATCCTTTTATATAAATAAGAATTTTCCAAATCTGTTTAAA